ATGAAACAATACGATTTAAACAAAACTATAATATTCGGGAAATTCTGCCCTTATTTTTTTGAACACTTATTAACTGAACAATCTTGGGCAAGTCTCCCCATTGTCTCTCTGAGTCTGCATTTTTACCTGTGAAATAAAAACATGTCTGCCTCACCCACCTTAATAAATCCAGTAAATATTTATTTATCTATTTAATGGGACATACACTGTCCTAGGCAGTTACATTTTATAACAGAAGGGATACAAATGTGTAAGGAGACATTAATAAACATAAATAAATGAACATTACAGTAAATAAGTGATGTGGGGGAAAACAGCAGGGTTAAGGAATAAAGTTTCTGGTGGGAAAAGAAGGCTTGCTGCAGCTTAAAATAAAATTGTCAGGGAAGGCTCCGCTGAGTAGGTGGTGTCTGAGAAAAAATTAAAGAAATGTAAAGGACCAGCCACCAGCGAAGAGCATTCCAGTCTGAGGGAATCACCAGGGCAAAAGCCCTGGGGATTAATTGTGTCAGCAGAGTCATGCGGAGGCCAGCATGTCTAGGATGGAGTCAAGGGGAAAGCCATGGAAATCAGAGAGGTAAGGAGAACTCAGGTACAGACTAATCATGTAAAGTCTTATAAGCTGTGATAAGAAATTTGCATTTATTTTAGGGGGAGATGGGAAGACTTGGAAGGGTTTGAGGAGGAGGGTTTTAAAAGGATGACTCTGACTACTATCTTGAGAGTTTATCATAGAGCAGGATGGAAGAAAGGAGACCAGTTATGAGGCTACTGGAGTGATCTGAGAGAGATGATGTTGGTGAACAGACCAGGATACTAGGGTTGGGAGTTAGGTGAGGTTCTTGAATTGTAGATATATTTGCAAGGGAGAGCCAACAGCATCCCTTGATAGACTGGAGGGATGCGAGAAGAATTGAAGAGTCAGAGGGGCTCAAATATTTTGACCTGAGCAACTAGAATGGGGAAGCTGACATCAAGTCCTATAGGGAACCTGCAAGTGGAGTAGTTTTGAGGAGGAACATCAGAAACTCAGTGTTGCTCATGTTAAGGTTGAGACATCTGTTAGGGAAACTAAAATGATGTTATAGTTAAAAGTCCCAAATTGTGAGTGGCTTAACATAGCACAGGATTTCTTCTCACTGAGGATACATATCAAACATGAGCATTAGAAGCTCTGCTTTACACATATATTCAGGCATCAGAGCTGATGGAAACATCACCATATTGTAACTGTGTCTGAAACATATGGCTTGCAGGTTACACAGCAGGGAGATAAAAGAACTGGAGAGTCACACATTGGTTTCTAATGTGTCAGTCCAGAAGTGACACCAATCACTTTCTCTCATAGCCCATTGATCAAAGCCAAAGCTATTCATGTGGTGCTATCTAAATGCAAGGAGGAAGGAAATATGGACTGTGATATAGGAGAAGGCAAGTTGAGAGGCCTGTTTGTATCATATCAATTTGAGGGTGGTTGACCATGTGGATAGTATTTAAATCAAAGAGATTGTGAAATCACCAGGGATTGAACAGAATTAAAGAAATGGAAGGACATTGGAGCCATGGGGCACTCCAGTGTTGGGAGGTCTGGGAGAGGAAGAAAAAAACAGTAAAAAGGAGACTGGCAAAGGCCATCTGGTGAGGTAGGAAGAAAGTCAGGAGACCAGGGCACCTGGAATTCAAGTGAAGAAAAGGCATCAAGGAGGAGAGATTGAAGGACTGTGACAAATTTCGCTGATATTTCCAGTAAGATGAGAACTGAGAATTGACCATTGCATCAGCCAGGGGGAGCTCATTGGTGTTCTCCACATTTTTGGAAGTATGATGATTGTAACCTGATTGATGTGGATTTAGGGGAGAATGAAAAGAGAGGAATTTGAAACAATTGGAGTAGCTTTAGGCAGCTCTTTCTGAGAACACTTGGTATAAATGATAAGAGAAATAAGAATGGTTGCTAAAGAAAGAAGGGGGACCAAGAACAAGGTTTTAAGGTTTTTCTTTTTAAATGGGAAAAATAGTAGCACATGTGTATCTTAATGGATAGAGAGAGAAAAATAGATGCTACAGGAGAGAGAGAGGTGAAGCTTGCTGAAATAGTGTTCTTTAAATTAAATAAAAAGCTTTTTAAAAGTTTTGAATTTGTGGGTACATTGTAAGTGTATATATTTATGGGGTACATTAGATATTTTGATAGAGGCATACAATAATAATCGCATCATGAAGAATGGGATATGCATCCCTGAAATGATATTCTTGAGCAAGCAGGAGTAGATGTGTGTACAGCACATATGGAAGAATTGATTGGCTTTAGCTGGGAGCATGGAGAGCTCCTCTCTAGTGGCAAGCAGGAAGGCAGAATTAAAGACTAGATGTGGAGATGGGAGTCTGTAAATATGGTGAAGGTTGCGTGCCGTGTCTATGAGAGCTATGCCTCAGATTTGGCATGAACACCAAGTGAAATGAATTCTAAATTAATAGACAGATATGTGTTATTATTAATTTGCTAATAGCTTTTAATAGCTTAGTATTAACAAAAACTGAGGCTAGCAATAAAAAGTCCATAGAAAGCTGGCAGGCCAGGCTTATCTGGAGGAAGATACAACCTATCTACCGGCTCTCGGCCACAGAGAGTGTGCAAGCTTTCTGGACCAATCACATCTGCAGAGGTGATGCTTACTAGACGAACATGAGCAGAGTGAGGGAGGGTTATCCTGAATTATTTTATAGAAAGATGGATTTGGAATTGAAGTGGTGTAGTCCTACACACCTCCAATGCTGGGCTGCCTTTATGTGGCTATGTTTGCCCATAAATTAACCTAGAGTCAATAGTTACAAGAATTTGTTAACTCAGTCACTTGGGAATCACTTAGATGTGTCACTTGTAGGCAAGCTGCAGCCTTCTTATGGGCTGGTGCCTTGGGAATGTGAGAGCCACACTTAGGAGAACTGTATCTTCCAAATTATGTCATTTACATTTTTACCTAATAAACAGAATGTTATGCAATAATAATTATATAACATTCTCTATAGGTTCAGTATATCAATTTTTAATATTATTCAGTATATTAATAATGTAATATTACATTCTGTTCTGTAATAATAATTAATGTTAGCAGATGCTATATCATGAAGCTGCCATGTTCTGGAAAATCAAGCTATTTATGCTGCTATAGTTCTTAAATATATCCAAGGAATACTACCAGTCACAGAAGCACAGAACTATCCAGAGAATTTCTGTACTGTAGAGATTTGTACTTAGAGGTGTGAAGGAAAAGATTGCAGAGGCCATGTGGTTGCCCACTGCCATCATCTGTGTTGCCCAAAGAAGGGAAAGGACTGTGAAATAGAATTGCCAGTGGAGACTCTCTCTGGTCTTGTCAGCAAGCTTTTTATGAAAAACACAATCCATTCTTCCACTCCAGACCTTTTAACAGGATAACAGTTGACCAACTGCCAGGATTTATTGGCCGGAATACAAACAGACATCACCATGTCATAACGCAGTCCTAAACAGGAACTTCTACATTCTTTTTATGCCGGTTCTGAGTTTTTCAGGCATTTGTCTTACTTCCCCACCTTGCATATCAAACGTAAATTGATTTGCTGAACCTATAGAGATGTTTGAAGGCTTTTATTTTTTCTTATATGCATTTAGAATTCTTGCAAACATAATACATGCTCATTAAAAAAATATAGAGAAATTTATAATAACATTAGCTCCTTGCCCCACCTTCTCCTACATGTAATTCTGTTTCCCAGAGACAAGTTTTTTTTTCCCCTCTAAGTGTTTCTGTTTTAAACTTCTTTCATACCTAAACTTCATAAATCTACATGCTATGCATACTATGCTACTATTTCTTAATTTTGCGCTTAGGTATAATTTATTGACTTTCTGATATAATAGATGGAGACTTAGCAGTGTTATATCCTCCACACCATTGCTACCCCCACCTTCACCCTCTAGCTTTGTAATAGCACTGTTCTCGCAGTACTTTATAACTTCTTGGTTATTTGTGTTGTCTACCGATTATAGACTTCTAGGCTTCTCAGTCCATAAAAGGACACTAGTGATTTAAACTAATCTAAATTTTTGTTTTCAGCTATCTTCCTAGTTTTCATCTCCCAATTTACATCACTTATATTTTCACGTATACATATCAAGTTTAAAAGCATTTGCATTCTGTTCTACACCCATAATTAACAGCTTTCTGATGTGTATGTAGCTGACTTTCAAGATGAACACATTCTGGGCTGTGACTTTTTTCTGAATAACTTCACTAGTTATCCCACCTCATTCTACTTTTGCCTCCTGTAACTTCATTTAAAACTCTTACTTGCTGGTAGTCCATTTCCAGTTCTTTCGTTTTTGTGATTCTGTGTTTTCTTTATTGCTTTACTTTTGATAAGATCTAGAGAGGAAAAGAGGATAAACAAATGTGTGAAGTCCACCATCTTTCACCACAATCTCCTTTTGAATTTGATTTTCTTCCCAGTACATGTGCAAAAGAAATATGTTGAACCAGTAACTATCTAGCCTGGCTTTCATGTTTTCAATAATGTACAACATTATATAACATTATATATGTATATATATAATGTAGTTCAGTAGTACATTATTGAAAATATGAAAACAACTATATATATTTCTGCAGTTTAACGTTTTATTACTGCTTTAAATTTAGAAAGGAAAGTAGTTCTAATTCAAAACTCTCTGAGGTAGCAAATAGAAAAGGCAAACACACAGTTTGGAAAATTTGAAGAAGCATATAAAAACTGACCATTGATCTTACTTCAGTATTTCATTCTGATGATCTTAAAAATATTGAAAACAGAAACACTTTATTTTAAAGCATCGGCATGATATCATCATTCCCTATGTAGTCTCCTTTTCCAATCACAGTTTACAATACACCTGGCAGGCAATGCCCCATTTTGATATCTTCATCTGCACTGCAGGATAAGATAGTAGCATGCTTTCCTCTTGCCTCTGCCTTCTGTAAAATCTTGTTTACAGTTTTAATAACTCCTCGGAACAAGTTACTGTACAACATAAACATATATTCCTGTTTATTCAGAGTGACAGTATTGTTATTGTTGTATTATAAAAACAATTGTGATTCTAAATAAAATATACCCATAAATTAAACTCAGAGATCAACTTAACTATAATATGTACACAATTTTCATCTAGCCTGAAACAGTTGCTTACAACACAGGCAATGTCTGCATGATTCATTTTTTAAGTACATAAAAATTTACATCTCCCTGTCTTCTTACTCATCATTAGTAGGATGATTTTTTAAAATATTCTCATTACCCCTTTGTGAGCTCAGGGAATGCCCTGAAGCACCAGCAGGTCTCACTGCTTTGTCTTGGACTGAAGGTGGCCTTTGGAAAAGGTGACTTCAAAAAAAGAGAGAGAATGCAGCTTAATGGTGAAATGGTTTGGCTTGGAGACCAGGTGGTGAGTGCCAGTCCTGGCTTTGCACCCTTCTTGCTGGGTGACCCAGGACATTTGACTTACTCTCTCAAAGCCTGTGAAATGGGAATAATAATAATAATAATACCTACTTCATATAGACATCAAGAGGCTAAAATAAATAATGCATGGAAAAACAGGAAAATATCTGCACACTAAGTACACATTAAATACTGTTTATTTTTATTCTTACTAATTTGAATTGTTAATGATTCAAAAATATTAATCCTGTGTAAGCACACAGAAATACCTACACATGAATTTCTCCTTAAGTTTTTGAGGATCTAAAGTGCATTCTGAGGATAGCTTTTCAATATGAGGAATTTTTCCTTATTTCACTTTACAGGCATGATTTGTATTTTAGGAATTGTTTGCACAGTGTGTGGACAGAAATCCTAAGCCCAACTTTTACTTTTTCTTCAAGCAGGACGTCAAGTTTGTATATAGTTTATTAATATCCAAATCCCTGTTTTTATTAGATTGCCTTTCGTGTCTCGACATAAAGATTAGTTTCAGAAAACTTGAGCTGTCAAGTTAAACCTGTTTAATGTTTGCTTTGCACAGCAAGCAAATCCCTAAATTTCTAAGATGAAAGTTTGTGTGCCCCTAACTAGGCAAACTAGAAAAGATGAGTTAGGGGAGGGGAAATACTAAGACTTGATTTTATTATTGCTATATTATTTATTTAAAAGTAGTTTTTAAATTTTGATAGCTTTTGGGGAACAAGTGATTTTTGGTTACATGGATGAATTGTATAGCGGTGAAGTCTGAGATTTTAGTGTACCTGTCACCTGAGCAGTGTACATGGTAATCAATATGTAATGTTTTTATCCCTCGCCCGCCTCCTGCCCTCCCACTTCTGAGTCTTCAATGAGCATCATACCACTCTGTCTGCCTTTGCATATCCATAGCTTAAAGACTCGATTTTAGTCCTGATTTTTCCGCTCATTTTCCTTTTTTTTTGAGACAGAGTCTCACTCTGTCACCAGGCTGGAGTGCAGTGGTGCGATCTCGGCCCACTGCAACCTCCGCCTCCCAGGTTCAAGTGATTCTCTTGCCTCAACCTCCAAAGTAGCTGAGACTACAGGTGTGTGCCAACATGCCTGGCTAATTTTTGTATTTTTAGTAGAGACGGGGTTTCACCATGTTGACCAGTATAGTCTCAATCTCTTGACCTTTTGATCTGCTCGCCTTGGCCTCCCAAAGTTCTGGGATTACAGGGGTGAGCCACTGCACCCAGCTCTCTGCTGACTTTCTTAACTCAATTCGTGAATTGACTTAAATCAATTCATGAACACTTATCCTGTGCTATGTTTCAGGAACTGAAGTAGAGAGACAAATAAAATCCCTTTCCTTAGAAAACACACAGCTTGGTTTGGAAGGCTGATAAGTACAATCCAATGTCTGTGACAATGTGTAAACAATATGACAATACACATATCACTGAAAGGGGGTCACAGACAGGATGCTCATGTCCTGGAGGAAGGGATATCTTCACTGTATATAGGATACCTTGGCAGAGGTGGATTCAAGTTTAGCGGAGTCTGAAGCTTATACAGTTTTTGTTTGTTTGTAGGGAGAGAGGGAGTGGTTTAAAATAAAATGAAAAAATTAAGTACATGACCTTGGAAGAGAATGGTGAAGCAGCTGTTTTAGCTTCCTTAGCTTCAGGGTATAACCCCCATCATCTCCAGGGAAAAAAGGTAGAAAATGTTCTACCTTTTTCCCCTGGAGTCAGAGTTTGAGAAAAAAACTGCCATCTAGGAACTTTCTGGCACAGCTCGGGGTACAGAGTGTGGGTGCTAAAGGGAGATGTCAGCAGACGGAAAGGTAAGGAGCCAGGATCTTGAAGGGTCTAATGTAACTAGGAGCTAGGTGATCTTTCCTCCAGAATTCTATCTGAATAGTACAGGAAATAACTAAGGTATTTTTTTCTCTCTTTTAAAAGAAATTTAATTGTGATAAAATACACATAATAAAACAGTTGCCATCTTAACCATTTTTAAATGTCCCATTCAGCAGTGTTAAGCATATTCACATTGCTGTGCAGCCAATCTCCAGAACTCCTTTCATCTCGCAAAACTGAAACTTCATATCTGTTAAACAACTCCCCTTTCCCGTTTCCTCCTTGCCTCTGGAAACCACCATTTCTGCTTTCTGTTTCTATAAATTGACTCCTCTAGGTACCTCATATAAGTGGAATCATATAGTATTTGTCTATAAAGCCAACCTCCCCAAGCTGCCTGATCTCAATGCATTCCATATGAACATTATGAAATCTTTCATGATTTGTCCTATACTAAATATAACTGATGTAAAGAAATGACTGAGTACCATTGATATCTATTCTATTCCAAATTTTAATTGGAAAGTGTTTGTGAGAGTTTAAACAGGATAGTTTGTTCCCAGAATTTTATCTCATTAGTTTGTTCCCAGAATTTTATCTCATTTCTGCCGTAGTGACAAACATGTAAGACTTGTTTCATTTATGACCTTGTATGGCAGCCCCTTTGGTATGGATTAATTTGTTTAATGGGCTGTTTAAGAAAGGCAGCTGGTTAACAACTTATTTCCTCTAATGTATTTCCAAATTTGTGTTAAACGATGGCCTTGAGAAAAGGTCCTCGTGAGTGTAAGATTTTTGTAGTGAATGCCAGAAGAAGTCTTATTTATGGCCTGATTCTTCAAAGACACAGTATCTTTTCATTTGGTATACGTCATTTTCAATATGATTTTCATGGCTGTGAAGGGGAAGCACATTATTTTCATGTACTAATACAGGCACTGAGATAGAAACTGTCTGAGAGAGGTGTAAGAATATCTGTTATGTTTCCTAGTTTCATAGCATGAAATCTTAAGACTCACATTATTAGTTAAGCCTTTGTATAATAACAGAAACTCATTTTTCGCCCAATTTATTTAATTATATATTGTTCATACCTTAATTATTTAATGAATAGATAATGCTGACTACAGGCAGTACTGTGAAATGGAATTCTGGGAGACTCTTGCTTACTCTTCGTGTGTCTTACCCCTCAGCTAGCATTCTTGTGACTTAATGCTTTTGCTTCCACCCAGCTGTACCCCATGGCGTACATTGTACCTACGATGGTACAACGCCATCAGCCCTTCCACTTTTAGGAATAGTTCCATTCCAGGCATTGTCTGATGCCAGGAACCTGCCAGGACAGAAACAGATATGTTGAATGTAAAAGATTGATAGTCGTTTAATGTTATTTCTCTAAATGTATTTACATTTTTGTATGATAATGCTTGGAAAGGAAATGCATACCTCATTCTAACAAGGAACTTGCTACCTGAAATGAGGATATATTTTTGGCAGGAAGCAATTTTACTTTTACTATATAGTCAACAAATAATTGCATGTATAGGACCAACTGTGTGTGGTGCTTTAAGAAACCTATTTAGATGACATTAGAAAGGGACTGAGTAATTAGTGTGTAATACATGTGCTTAACAGTGAAAAACAATTAGAAAGAAAAAATCAAGCCTATGGTCATACCACCCTGAATGCACCTGATCTCGTCTGATCTCAGAAGCTAAGCAGGTTCAGGCCTAGTTAGTACTTGAATGGGAGAAAAAATTAAGTTACAAGTACTTCCATACATTCTCCCTCTGGCCACACCTGTAAAAGAATTCTAAATTTGTTAGCTTGGTCTTTGTAATTTCTAAGAGATATGTTGAATCTGCCATCTTGGTTCCTTGCTTTCTGCACCACAAAATCAGAGAACGGGGAAAGGAGAAGCTAGGAAGGAGTATTTGCTCTGGAAGGATTTATTCAAAGAGGAAAAAAGACTTGAGGAGAAAACAAGAATGGGAGAAAGGTGAGGAACAATACAAATTTTATTTGGAGGCTGGATTTAATGGGAATTGAAAGGAAAAGCGGGGAGAGCCTGAGATTTAAGACAGATGCAGGGTGCAGGAGATATGGAAAGGAATGGGATAAATATAATTTTAGGAAGTGTTGCTGTAGGCAACGATTGGACAACCTTTAATATCTTTCAAAAATGCAAACAATTATTTAAATTTCTGTGTGCAACTGTATCATGTTTTGTTTCGTTTTTTGATTTTGTATTCTTCATCTCCAACTCAGAATCATCCACATCTCTAAAAATTCTATTAGTGAACAACAGTACTTTTTAAACTGAGATCTGGGTTTCAGATGTGCTCACGCTACTGGAGTGTCCTTGCTTCTTGCCCCTTCAGCATATACCTATGCTGGGCATTGTAGATGCCATAATAAAAGGATGATGCAAGGTACTTAAACTTATCTTTTTGTTTTGGAATAATGTAGCATGATGAAAGAAGTTGTTTTAAATATATGACTTCTGTATTCCGTTTATTTGTATCTTTCTATAGCTGTGCTGTCCAAAATGTCAGCCACAGCCATATATGGCTGTCTTAATTTAAAGCACAAGTTCAGTCCCTCAGTTATTCTAGCCATATTCCAAGTATTCAGTTATGACATATGGCACAAGGATACTGTACTGGGTAGAAAGTGATAGAATATTTTCATCGTCAGAGAAAGCTCTGTTAGACAGCATACTTCAACAGAATGCAGCTCCGCACAGCAGGTAAGCATATTTATTGGGAATTGTGTTTGTTCAGCTGGTCATCTGAAATCCACAGATACAGAATTATCACCAACCAGATCCTTACCTTAACAGACACTGATGTGTATTCTCTGTTTTCACATTGGCTATCTTTCCCATTCATATGACATACTATGTAGACCACTGCTTTGTTCCTGTGAAATATCCCTGTGGTTTTTAAGACACTAATAGTTTAAATAACTTCCATTTATTGCAGACTTCACTATGTTCTAGGCACTGTGCTAAGCACCTTAACTGCATTATCTCACTTAATCTTTATAACGACTTTATGTTTTAGATTTATTTAGTATTTCATTTAATCTTTACCTCATTTTAACAACTTATAACACCTTTATGTAATAGGCGCTATTAACATCTCAATTTTATACATGGGAAAACCAACACAGAGAAGTTAGGTCACTGATTCGTAGTCCCACAATAGGTTAGGAGTGAAGCCAGAATTAATTGTGGAAGAGTAAGGGTAGTGGAAGAATATGTATTTTTTTATATTCCCTATGTGAAACTTTTCAAATGCTGCAACTTGGAAAAGGCATTGTTTTACTTTCATGAACAGAAATGCACCACAAAAAAATTACACAGAAATTAGTCACACCTTGTTAGATTTCAGTTATGTATCATGCCTTAGTCACACAAATTCCTGATCTAGGAGTGTTTGTGGAAAAATATGCTCCCCTCCCTCTGTCGCCTCTCTCAGATGCCAAACTTCCTTTCAAATTACCAGCTTCTCAATAACAGAGTACCTTCCTAATTCTGGCCCTGCGTCACTTTCTGGACCTAGGACCGCATCACACATTTTTTATTCTTTTAACAGTATAGTAAAAAAAACAAAACAAAACAAAAAAACCCTCTTTATTTAAAGATAATTTACACGTTAATATCTCATACTAAATATGCATATCCATCTTTAAAAATTCTTTATTCTAAATAGAAGAATTTCTTGGACAAATGTATATTCTTTCCTTCAGAAAGTTTCACATTTTTTTTATTGGCATGTATTGATTTTACTTTTTGCATTGACTGTTCCTCTATCATTACACTTTCTTGTACTCCTTAACATTATATGAAAAGTATTTCAATGGTTTCTGAGCTTTTAAATTTAACAGTGGAGTAGAGATTTTCTTTCCTAAAGAAGTGACTCATCCGTAAGGAAGCATGGTGATCAGCATCCTGAAGCACAGCACACAGAACCACTTTCTTGCTGCCTTTTACCCTTCAAATATTGCACTCTCTCCCTATCATAAAATCTGCCTTGGTAGCATCACCAGTTCAGGTTTCATCAGCCCCTTTGGAAACAGATTAGATTGAGCTGACTGCCTAAAGCGCCTTCAGGTCTATATTTTCAATAAAGATTAACATCTGAAAAACACATTTTGCCCAGCAAAAGCAAGAATTACAATATTATTGTGACATACTTTTTTCTTAGATGTTGAAGAAAAATAGTTTGAAAAGATCCAGAAAGATATTTATAAAAAGAATTTAATAAAATTTCATAGAATACTAAAAAAATTAGGTATGGTTAGAAATAAAAGTAAGAGAACAAAGATTTTACTGTGGCCTTTGGCCTCAACTAAAGAAAGTGAACTTGTGCTCTTCAAAATGCTCTTCACTTATGACAGAGTCGTCATATAAAAGAAAAGAAAGTCTGCAGGGAGATTCTGTAGGTTCAAATCACAGAACTCTATTTATATGTAGAGACCTAAACAGGAGAACTCTCATAATTCCAACATGAACCAGAAGTACAATAGTTTTAGAAACACCCAAATTTCCTTTGATATTCAGCTACAAGGAGATCTGAAAGAGTTTTCCAATCTTACTTATTTTGGAGCTGCAGCTGGATAATTATTCACATGTGGCAGAAACAGGAAGGCTTCATTTCCTCAACATTTTCCCACTCTGCTTTTTAAAGGGAGTGTGAAAATATTTTTGTAAGAGAATGGGATTCCCTGGATTACCTAATAGTTGAAATGAGTTACTCTACACTAAAGTGTTATACTTTTCCCCTCTGGGTAGAGTACCTGTTTCTGTTAACTCAGTTTTTTTTTTTTTTAATTCAAAGAAATTCTTGATAATTACTTATTGAGTAAGCATCTTAATATGTAAAATGTAGTAGATTATTGTTAGGCTCACAGTAGATCCATTATTAGCTATTAAAAGACTCAGAGGAAAAAATGACCTTAAACAGAAAAATTAATCGATCATTACCCTGTATTTAGAAGTGGATTTCTACTTCAAAGTAGCATCACCTAATTTAGGATAATTTATGACTTAGCTGTTTTTTATTTTACTTCTTTCCATTTTCAACTTTGCCAATGACAGATTTTTGATATTTGTGTGATAAAGAAGGAGGAAGAACAAGAAAATAAAGCATTTGCCTAATCCATTTTACTCATGAGTCAAGGAGGTCAGGAGCTAACACAAGGGGCTCCAGTCTGTTCTTCAACACATCATTCTCTCTCATAAATATATTCTTGCCATATTCTTTACCATCTAGATCAGTGTTGTCCAACAGAACTTTCTATGATGATGGTGACATTCAGTATTTGTGCTGCCCAATACTCTACCCAGTAGCCAGCCACACATAGCTATTGGCTATTGCACATTCCACAATGTAGCTGACTTGACAAAGGAACTGAATTTTAAATTTACTGATTTTTAATTAAGATTTTTATGGTCATGTGTGGCTAGTGGCTTCCATATTGGGCAATGCAGACCTGAATTTATCCAAAACAAAAATCATCTAGAAAATGTTGTACCACAATTTGTGATCACACAAAACTGCATTTGTTATTTATGTATTTATATAGACACTATAATAAGTAGATATTAAGACTCTTATAGGATTTCCCTGCATTACTCTTAATCCCTCCTTAACTAACAGTGTTGCAACACAATTCTAGTTTACCTTTGACAAGTATGGATTTTATTTTACATGCCTCAGTGTATTCATTTGTAAAATGAAGACTAAAATGAGTGCCCACTTCATGATGTTTTTATGAAAATTAAATGAGTGAACACATATCAAGCACTTCAGAAAGTGTCTGGTTCATGGTAAGTGTAAGCTAGTATTATTAAGACAACTAGGCATTTGAATTTATGAGTAGAGGCCCTTTAATCATTATTATTCTTTCTGGTAGGTACAGTGGGTTTTAAAAAATCATAAGAGAGAGTCAGGGAGAGATAAGGGCTGAACACTGAGAAGTGGCTGAGGTCATGGGGAATGGACTAGGCTATGAATAGAATTCATGCTACTCCCAGAGGGACAGTGGACATTGTTCCAGGACATATTTTGATATATTTGGCTAGTAGGATGGTTTGCATGTTTTGATGTTAAGGAAAGGGGATTGGTGGTGATAGGAGAGAAATAGCAGTCTAAGTTGCTGGTTGCCAATCAATTTTTTAAAGTAAGTTTTATGAAGAAAGAGAATGTATCAAGTATTATGTATCTCCAGCACCAAGTACAGCACCTTGTACATTGTTGGTACTCCATAAACATTCACTAGATGAATAAATAGGAAGGCTTTTTAAAAGAAGCAGGACATTGTAGAGAGGGTGGCCTCATGCATTGGTCTGAACATTGTACTAGATGACCTTTAAGGTCTTCTAACTCTAAGAGTAAAAGATTTCACGTATAAACAGCACTTGATATTTTAGTTCCAGCCAAAATGTCTAGATACGAAGGTAATGTAATTTCCTAGGACTCTAAGCATTATTTTCTATAGCCACCTAAGAAGTAGTGTTTGATTTAAACAAAATTAACATCAACACGCTAGCTGACTTTAATATGGAATCACATTTCAGGATCAAAATGCATCAACAGATTCTGGTGTTAGGCAGTTCAGTGTTTTGCTTTTTCTTATCTTTTGGAACTGTCTAAAAAATAAATTAGATGTCTCTAGTGATCTGAATCATTTAGCATAAAATTGGTAAAGGAAAATTGCTTTGGGATACATTTCATGCTCTTTAATATACGCTTCCTTTATCCATTCCTTCCTGTCAGGAGACACCCAGGCCTCTCAAGTTTCCTCCACTACCCTCTGGGACCAACACTTATTTAACAAAAATCTCTTCCACAGTATCTATAATGGCAGGTCTGAATTTAACATGGCTTATGTGGCTTTCCAGGGACTGAGCTCTGCCAGTCCCTGTGACTATGTGCACAGGCAGGGCTGTGCTGGGGCACCTTGTGTTTTCCGAATCCCTGTTCCATGCTGGTCACCCGTCTGTGGCTACCCTGTCACAATTCCTGTTCTCTCCATTAAGAGCCATTTATTCCCGTCTGCCTAATACCAATATGCCTGACAAATTCCATATCTTTCTGGGACACATCTTTAACCTCCCCTTGTTTTATTGCTCTCATTTACCAGGTGTTTCACGGTATGATAACACTTATCGCAGTGTCCGGTAGTTGTATATTTTTTCCTGTATGGGATTCCAACTGTACTGCCAGCCTGTGAATAACTTAATGGGAGGGGATGTGACTTAGTTATGGAACTCAGATGGCCACTCCAATGAGGATGTCAAAAGGGTAGAGGTTGGGTCTCTTCTGTTTACTACTGTAATATCTGGTTCACCGTAGTTATTATTAAATGAATCTATAAATCCAATATCTTTCATATAAGAGGGATTTAATATTTGGTGAATTGACCAAGTGGTTCAGAAGTTCTAGGTTCAGTCTTAGGTCTACTGGCAGTCAATTCTTGATCGTAAGAGTTAATCTGGCTATGAAGTTTGTACTGAAATTTGCAAGTGGAAATATTACATCATATACTTTAAATAACATAATTATAAATAATTGATTGACAGACTCTTCAGAACTAGAAGGACCTTAATAAAGGCTGTCTCTAATTGGGAGATTGACAATATGCTAAACACTGTTCTAAGTACTTTATGTTATTAGTCAATTAAAAAAAATTCATTGTTACTAACTCATAGTATTATGACATAAACATTATTATCCCTATTTTACAGAAAATGAAACCAAGGCACATGTCTAAATGACTCCCAAATGTCCCACAGGTAGGGGATGTTGAGCTGTGAGTTGTCCCAGGCTGTGTAGTTCCAAAGTCCTTTCTCTTAATCTCCATCTTGGTTGTTCTTTGTGATATCTTTAGCCATTTTCTATGTCAACCCCTTCTACTTAGTGGAGATGGTTTCAGTTGTAAGTTACAGAAAACCCACTTCAAAATGGCTTCAACTTTGTAGAGAATTTTTTGGCTCATGTAACTAAAATATCCAAAAGTGCATCAGACTCTAGGCAGGAGCTGAGCTGGGTTTTGGCTTGATTCCCTGTAATTCTCACAGCCCCCTTTTTCTCCAGATGCCACCCTCATCTTCAGTTGGATGGAGGATCTGGTAGGAAGTTGGCTGTATTGTTCTAGGTTTCACCATCCAGTGGAAGATATGGTGTCTTCAGTTGTTCTGCAGAGGAGAAAGCTTATTTCAAAGGAGAGCCTACTAATACCTCCTCCAGTTTCACAGAAGTCATATACACTAAAAATTTGGTGATATTCTCTCGGTACCAATGGCCAATGGATGTGCCTATACAGATCTGTTTATGCCTGAGCTGCCTACGTCCCCTCTAGATCCAGTATTGGAGTCAGCCTTCCTTGGGTCACATGAGCTCTTCATGGAACATACGAACGAGAAAACAGAGGGTGATTGTTACCAAGAAATGGCAGAAAGGGTGGTAGGCCAGGAATTCCAATGCTCACTATACTCATCACAAAGTTGGTTAGAAATCAGTTTATCTTTGAGTTATAAACTTCAAAATCAGATTCTAACAGTCTTTTCAAAGCATCTTTTAAAACCATGTCTTATTGGAACTCTTAAGGGAAAACAGTAAGGATACTAAGAAATTGCAATATTTTCATTAATTGTGTGAGAGAAAATTATTTGAAAATAGAACTGATAATTATCTATTTAGTCATGTATTAATACTTCAAAATTATAAAAACAGTATAATAACTGCATGTAAAATGGTCTGCAGAATGGCTTACTACTTTAGATTTAATTTTTAATTCCATTCTGAGTCCATATGCAACTTAATGTGATTGAAAATTTTTCTGAAAAGTAAGTGGCTAGGATATATCGCAGAATGTTGGAAAATTAGCCCATTGCAATCTCAGCGATCTGTTTCATTAAAATTGCATATGCCATGTTTAAAACTGATCTCAAAGTTAACTCCAATAGACATTCATTCATCTTTTCAATTATTTAATAAGTCCTGAATTATTAAGGGACAAGCACTTGGGGATAGAGAAGTGGGTGTTTGTCCGTTTTTGTTGTTTTTGAATTCTCCATAGGTTCTTAGGATTTCTTTCTTTTTTTCTTTCAACATTAATTTTAAGGTTCAAGGGGTACATGTGAAAGTTTGTTACATGGGTAAATTACATGTTCAAAGAGGTTTGGTGTACAGATAATTATGTCACCCAGGAAATCAGCATAACACCTGATTGGTAGTTTTTAAATCTTTATCCCCCACCCTCCAACAGACCCCAGTGTCTATTGTTCCCTTCTTTGTGTCCATGTGTATTTAATGTGTAGCTCCCTCTTATGAGTGAGATCATGAGATATTTGGTTTTCTGTTTTCATGTTAATTCACATAGAATAATGGCCCCCAGCTCTATCCATATTGCTGCAAAGGCCATGATCTCATGTATTTTTTAGCTACGTAGTATTCTTTGGTACACACACACACACACGCACACACACACCGCATCACATTTTCTTTATCCAGTCCACTGTTGATGGGCATCTTGGTTGATTTCATGTCTTTGCTCTTGTGAATAGTGTTATGATGAATATACAAGTGCATGTGTCTTTTTTGTAGAAACATTTATTTTCCTTTGGGTATATACCCAGTAGTGGGATTGCTGGGTCTAATGGTAATTCTGTGTTAAGTTCTCTGAGAAATCTCCAAACTGCTTTCCACGGTGGCTGAACTTACTTACATTCCCACCAGCAGTGTGTAAGCATTCTCTTTTTTCCACAACCTTACCAGTATCTGTTATTTTTTGACTTTTTAATAATAGCTATTCTAGCTGGTGTGAGATAGTATCTCATTGTGGTTTTGATTTGCATTTCCCTAATAATTGGTTATATTGAGCATTTTTTTCATATGCTTGTTGGCCATGTGTATGTCTTTTGAGAAGTGTCTGTTCTTGTTCTTTGCATACTTTTCGATGGGGTTGTAAGCTTTTGTTTGTTTACTTGAGTTCCTTATAGATTCTGGATATTAGACCTTTGTCAGAGGCATAGTTTGCAAATATTTTCTCCCATTTGCTAAGATATCCATTTACTCTGTTGATAGTTTCTTTTGCTGTGCAGAAGCTTTTTGGCTTAAATAGGTCCCAGTAGTCAATTTTTGGTTGTGTTGCAATTGCTTTTGGAGTCTTTATCATGAAATCTTTGCATGGCCCAATGCCCAGAATGGTATTTCTAGGGTTTTATAGTTTTAGGTTTTACATTTAAGGAATCCTTTCCCTGTTGCTTGCTTTTGTCAGCTTTGTTGAAGATCAGATGGTTGTATGTGTGAGGCTTTGTTTCTGGGTTATCTAATCCGTTCCATTGGTCTATGTTTTTGAATCAGTACCATGCTCTTTTAGTTACTATATCCCTGTAGTGTAATTTGAGGTTTGATAGCATGATGCCTCCAGTTTTTTTCTTTTTGCTTAGGATTGCTTTGGCTATTTAGGGTCATTTTTTTGGTTCCAAATAAATCTTAGAATCCTGATTCTGTAAAGAATGTCATTGGTAGTTTAATAGGAATAGCATTGAATCTATAAATTGCTGTGGGCATTTTAACAATTTGATTCTTCCTATTCATAGTAGCCACAAAAAGAATAAAATATCTAAAAATATAGCTAACAGGGAGGTTAAAGATCTCTACAACAGGAATTAGAAAACATTACTGGCTAGGCACAGTGGCTTGTCCCTGTAATCCCAGAACTTTGAGAGGCTGAGGCAGGCAGATCGCCTGAGGTCAGGAGTTCAAAACCAGCCTGGCCAACATGGTGAAAATCCCTCTCTACTAAAAAAATACAAAGATTAGCTGGATGTGGTGGCATACGCCTGTAATCCCAGCTACTCAGAAGGCTGAGGCAGGCTAATTGTTTGAACCTGGGAGGTGGAGGTTGCAGTGAGCAGCCGAGATCATGCCACTGCACTCCTGCCTGGGCGACAGAGTGAGACTGTCTGAAAAAAAACACACACAAAAAAACAGTGCTGCAATAAACATTCGTGTGCAATAGCAAAGACTTGGAACCAACCCAAATGCCCATCGATGATAGAATGGACAGGGAAAATGTGGTACATATACACCATGGAATATTATGCAGCCATCAAAAATGATGAGTTTGTGTCCTTTGTAGGGACATGGATGAACCTGGAAACCATCATTCTCAACAAAGTGACAGAAGAGCAGAAGATCAAACACCGCATGTTCTCACTCATAGGCGGGTGTTGAACAATGAGAACACATGGACACAGGGAGGGGAGCACTACACACTGGGGTCAACTGGGAGGAAATAGGGGAGGGATGGTGGGGGGTGGGGAGCTGGGGAGAGATGCCAGATGTAGGTGTTGAGGAGCAAGGCAGCAAATCACACTGCCACGTGTGTACCTATGCAACAATCTTGCATGTTCTTCACATGTACCCCAAAACCTAAAATGCAATAAAATAAATATATGGGGGAAAAATCATATGACACAAATAAATGGAAAACATTGTATACTCATGAATTGAATTTATTTCCTGGGGGTTTTTCTCCTAATTCTGCCCCTCCCTCCCTAACTGAGACTTCTTACTTCCTGCCAGCAGAGCAAATTTTATAAAACTCAAATTCAATTATATGCTATTTCTGCTTACATGACTTTAATAACTTCCTGATACCTATAGGAAAATATTCAAAATTCTTAGAATGTTTTAAAAATGCTTCCACAAGATGATCTTGTCTTAATGTCCCACCACATCTTGGAATTCTTCTTCACACACACACTCCTGAACTTGCTGTACTGAACTTCTTTCTCACTGTATGTTAAACAGGAATTTTTGTTAATGCCATGCCTTTGTACATTCTGCCCTTATTTCTGGGATATCCTCTTCTACACTTCTCCTCCTACCTAAATTCTATTCATGCTTTAAGAAACATCTCACACATTACTCATTCTGGCTACTTCTGTAAAAGTGCTAAGCAGAGTTATTAATACTTACCTTTATTATGTTCCCATAAAATTTTATGTGACTCTATTTCTCTACTTAACACATTGCACTGTAATTTTTTACATGCATCTCTCATGAAGAAAGAGATGGGATTTCTCTTTGTAATAGATCAGTCTGGGCACATGGTACTGAATAAATACTTTCTGTGTTATCATTTATTAATGCACCAATCTGGAACAATAAACTGACCACTGAGAATTTTCTTTTGTTGTTTCAAAAAAAAGTTACTGAGTGCTTTCTCTGAGTTAGTATTTAGCCCCAAAATATGGCATAGAGGCTTTACTGTATTTGAAATAATTCAGGTTTTTTTTGGAAAGTTTGATGTTTATTTTGGCTTTGGTGACCTTCTATGGCATATCAAAACTGTCATTGCCAGAAGTTGATTGTGTGCTATTATTTTTCTTCCTGTACATAGAAATTTCTTGATAAGGCAAATGTGATTTATGTCCTTTCAATATCACCATTAAGATGGTGGCAGTCCAGTACCAAAATATTTGACATTACCCTCTTCTCTCCCAGATAATTTCATGCCTTTTGTATAGCTAAATATAACAAACAAATAAAACAAAGTGATGTTTTAAAAAGTTCATTGAAGCACAAGCCTTGGGATCCATAACCTCTAATCTTAAATCCATCAAGGCATGCTGCCTTTGTTCACGAATATTCTTATTTTAAATATGCACAAAACACGAAAACTTGTGTCATTTCCCCATCATAAAAAGAATTCATTATTAACATGACAGTGAAAAATTGTTAGGTGATATTTCAGAATTGATTCAATTATTTCCGGTTGCTATGGAATGTGTTCATCTTCCTTCTAATTAATAGTTTTAGAAGCAGAATTGGACCTTGTTTTTAAATTTCCAAGCAGTACTTTGTTGTGAGTGGCTTTCTCACAAAGAGGGTTTTGATTTTTCCTTCTTTATAGTTACTTGTTCTTTGTCTCAATGATGAATATATTTCATCCAAGCATAGAGAAATGCTGTTCTTACCAAATGATTATTCCATCAAATAAAATTAGGACATCACATACTATGCATTTAGAGAAACTGGAGTTTTGAAACAACCCAAAGCTAGGTTAATGCTAGATAGTCATTTCACAATAATATGATATTGCTCTGAGCATTAGCAGTTCTAAGCAGGGTGGTCTGAATCTTGCTGTTAATGAGAGAGAGTTTATCTTTCACTTCCTCAGTGAATAAATGTGAAGCACAGTGCATGTTGAGTTTTACATTTCTTAGTTTTGAACATTAGAGAACTGGGGTGTGACATTTTGTGGTCTCTCTTTTTCAAGTCCTGAGGAATGTAGTTTTACAGTACAAAGTGGAGAATTAGACAATGAAAAACAGAATGCGACAGACATAATTGTTTTAATATGTCACTGCCAACTGTCATTGGCCCTGGTGGGAGGCCTCACATGGCATGTCTGTCTCTAAGGATTGGCTAGGGATCTTCACACTTCATCCATCATTTCATCACAGATCATCTCAGCCACTCCTGAACTGTGACCAACTGGCTTACTCAAGGGACTAGCTCTGCTGTCCTGACATGATGGCAAGCAGTGGCACACCACGCAGACTGCAGTTCAGCCTGCCTCAGACTCAACATAAACACACATTTGGGACAGTCTCACCTAGCCTCATTGCAGAGACAAGAAGTGTATGGCAAGATGGCATATGGAGTACTAACTGGTTCAAAATACTAACCAATGTGAACTTCCCATCTTCCTGTTGAACTGCCAAGGGTAACAAGGGAAGGGAGCCCCCGCTGCTGAGGAAAGGTCCACCGGTGACAACAAGGATCTGTATTCTTAGCTTGCTCAGTCAAAAGACATCTTGGTACGAGACCAAAAAGATTTTATGTAGGCCCACTACCAGAGAGAATAGGTGTGTGTTTCTACACTTGCTCTTTGGCAAAAGGCCAAGACACAGTAGGTTTCTCTTTCTGACTTTCACACTAGATAAAAGAATTTCATAGGAATGGAGAGCTTAGAAAATAAGTAAGTTAGACGTATTGTAGGAACCATGTGTTCTACCAGTCTCTCACATTGGGAGTCTGGAGTGTGTGTGTGCATGTGTTTGTGTGTGTGTAGAACATGATACAACTAACTTTAAGTGGGAATATGCAAATCAGTCATCTCATGTCCTGCTACTTGTCTAGAATCTTGGAGATCAGGAGCCCCATACGGCATAGGGAGGGTGGAATGGGAGAATCCACATCTGAGAGAAGTGGCAGTTTGGCCAAGAGGTCTTGGGACTGGGAAAGTAGTAGGCAGAGAAGTGAGGAGACTGTGTCAGCAATGCATTAGGTGTGGCACTATTGCAATCCATGTGGGTGGCAAAGGAGAACCCACACACTTCCAGTTGCCCTCTGAGGGTACCATATGCTTCACACATGCTATCTAGTTCCACATGAGTCAAGCCACTTCATTACAAAGGATGTCTGCATAGGATGGAAAGAGAGGGAGACTAAAAGACTCCCTGCTCTACAACCACTGCAGAGTGGCGGTTCTTTACCACCCACCCTCTGGATCCCAGAAGTATGGGCTAGGGCTGAAACAGGAGTACATGTACCTTAGATGTGAATAAACACAAAAGTAGGCTTGATTAAAAGGAATCAGTAAATTGAATGGAGAAAAATGGAAATGGATAAATTCAGATTTTAAAAATAATATGCAAAATGGGAGCTCATAATAGATAATGCATTTGTTGGAAGAAATCAAGTTTTATTTCAGCACCTGTAAGAATTTTATAAAATTCTCAGATTGTGAATAAAAATTACACAATTCACATGTGGAACGCTAATCAGAAGAGAGCAAGATGATAACTGTGAACGTGGATACAGTCATGCATTGTTTCACGGGGGGGATACGTTCTGAGAAATGCATCATTAGGCGGCTTTGTCATGCAAACATCATAGCACATACTTACACAAACCGAGACGTTATAGCCTACTACACATCCAGGCTGTGTGGTATAGCCTAGTGCTCCTAGGCTACAAACCTGCACAGCATGTTACTGTGCTAATACTGTAGGCAACTGTAACACAGTAGCAAGTATTTGTGTACTTAAACATATCAAAACATAGAAAAGGTACAGTGTAAACATGGTATAATAGATAAAAAAATGATATATTTATGTAGGGTTATACTATTGTAGACTATAAATTCTGTACAGTTAGGTTACAATAAAATTAAAAAATTTTTATCTTCAATAATAAATGAACGTTAGCTTACTATAACTTTTTTACTTTATAAATTTTTAAATTTTTAAAATTTGATTTTACTCGTTTGTAATAACACTTAGCTTAAAAACACATTGTAAAGCTGTACAAAAATCTTTCTGTAAATCCTTATTCTATAAACTTTCTTCTATTTCTAAATCTTTTAATTTTATGTTTACTTTTTAAACATTTTTGTTAAAGACACAAGCATACACATTAAGCTAGACCTAGACACAGTAAGGATCGTCTATATCATGGTCTTCCTCCTTTACGTCTTGGCCCACTGGAAGGTCTTCAGGGCAATAACATGCATGGTTATAATGCCTTCTGGAATATCTCCTGAATGACCTGATGGACCTGTGATAATAATGCCTTCTGGAATATCTCCTAAAGGACCTGAAGGACCTGCCTGAGGCTATTTTACAGTTAACTTAAAAAAAATAAGTAGAAGGAATATATTCTAAAATAA